GGAAGAAACGGCTGATCTAATGAAGTTGTTGACGACCATTTTGGCTGAATACTGGAGAAAGAGGCGTCTTGATCAGGCCAGGAGATTCTCACGGGAAAGTGATTGGCCCTCACGACGATCGACAGTAAACATCATTTCAGATTAAATATCGATCGGGTCCAGGCATACTCGAGGATCGGCGAACTCTTATCGATCTTGTTATATTTGAATAGCTATGTAATTACTAAAATGTCCCTCTAAAAAGTCAATGATCAGAGGACTAATATGTGCTTTTATAACGCTGAGACTTATGCTTATAAATAGAGGGTCCATGTCATTAATAAGGATCAGACTCTTTTTTACTATTATTGATTTTACTATCTCCTCTCCCTACCCTACAGAACGCTCTATACCTTGGGCATGTTTCCCGAACATTCCTGGATTCAACATCCTTTAAGGTGCACTAAGTGTGAAAACATGTCTTCAACAAGAAGAGTAACCCCACAACAACGAAAAAGAGAATCAAGTTAAAGGAACGTGGTAGAAGCAGCATGCACTTGCGAGCTCATGAAATAATTCGTTCAACAAGGCTGCAAAATTTGAGAACTCAGATCACCAATCAGATGTCGGGTCTTGCTCAGCCGCTCTCCATCTCCGTCAACTCCTCTGTTGAGTTTGAATGGGAGGGGAAAATAGAGGATAGCCACAACATATTCGACGAGTTGTTAGCAAAACAATAGAACGGTGCCTTTGAAACAACACTTATTTCACAATTATCTTAGCACATAAAAAAAATTCATTTTCATAATTTTCAACTTATTATTTCAAAATAAAGATTATTATTAAATTTTGAGACCATATTTAATAAAATTTAATGAACATATCTTCATCAAACCCATTTTTCCTTTAATAAACCAATTGATTATTACGTGTAACTACTCATTAATTATCCAAAGAAACAAGTACATAAATAGCTTTCTAAAATTTGGTCGAAATAATTCATATTTCCTAATTTTACATCATCCTTATTTCAATATAATATTATTAAAAAAAAAAAAAAAGTTTTGATACCATAACTTTAGCCAGCGCTACCAGGCGTCTAACAGCCTCCATCTCCCCTAATTAGATCGCATTTACTTCGCCCGCCAGCTCCAACCACCACCTGCCTCCCTTCCCCCCTTCCCCCCTTCTCCCCTTCTTATTCAGTGATAAACATAACCGAGCTTCATTCATCTACAACTCCTCCTTACAGATCATCCCACCCCACAAGATGAAGACAACGACTCCGCTTCCGGCCTCCAAGCAAGCAGAAGAAGCTCCCGATTCGGCCGCAAGAAGAAACGCGAGTGCGGGCCGGACCGCCGAAACGCTGCTGCGCGTTGCGCCCATGGGATTCTGTCTCGCAGCGCTATTTCTGACAGTAAAGAATTCGGAGGACAACGATTTCGGCTCCATATCTTATTCTAATCTCGGATCATTCAAGTTTGTATTGTATTCTCTCTTTAAATATCTCGCTCTCAACAGTGATTCCTGTTAGCTGGTAATGAATATTTGTGCAGGTATTTGGTGTACATGAACGGTGTGTGTGCCGGATACTCTATCTTCTCTGCTCTGTACACCGCCATGCCTCGACCCGCCTCTATGTCTCGCGCCTGGACTCTCTTCTTCCTCGATCAGGCAAACAAATTACTGTCTTTCTTTATTGAGATTTTTTTTTTT